AATTTTTCATATTTAACATTCCTCAAGAGATTGGCAAGTCTTTGAATTTTTCAGTTGTCTGTTCAGTTTGTATCTCTTACTCGTATCATTTGATTCCATGATAACATGTCAGCATGGAATAAAATCTCCAGCTCTGTCGCATTTTCTGTAGCTAATAAAGTTGTATAGGTGGTTGTATTTCCAATCAGTTTTCAGAACCAGTGTTACACTTAAAAGTATGTTAACACAGGATGATAGTAAGTCTTTGAATTCAGGGTTAAAGTTACATGTGCTAAACCTGATGTTGCGGGATGTTCCAGCCATGTTCACTTCTGATGCTGCGGGATGAGCTCGGTGCAGAGGCCTTTGGTGTCTCTTCCGTCCCTGCCGCACACTTGGCCTCCCAGCCTCTCTGGCAGCTCTTCTGTCCTCCTTGGTAATCCATAACTGCTTCATGTTTCCACTAGGAAACTACCCTCCCTGGTTTCTAATATCCTCTTTTTTAATCAGTTCTGTTTATTCCCAGCAGACTTTCCTTCCTAAAAGCATTATCTGATTTTATTACTTGCTCCAAATCTTTGATGGTTCCCTGTTGCCTAAAGGCTGTCATGCAAAGCCCTGGCTCAGCATCCAGGGTCCTCTTGGCACCAGTGTCCTCTGACCCACTCTGGTCCTTGACGACACACTCCCACCTCGTTGTGTGCCTCCATGGTTTGCCTTTTCCTTTCTGGAACGTGAGACAGAAGACTGTCTGGAGAGAAGGGGGGTGCTTGGATTTTATGCCCATTCTTCTGGAGGACCTTGATCAAGCCATTTACTGACTTTTCTAAGGTTCAGTTTCCACGTTTCTAAAAATAGAAATGTGAGTAATCGCCATCCTAAGTTGTCCGTTAACCTCTAACCGGTCCCGAACCGGATAATAAAACGCTGTGAAGGTGCTTTCTGAACACTGCAGCGTGCTGTGTAAATGTTAGATTGCTTGTGTTAACATGACAGTGGAGGGGGTTGGGGGAGATACAGAGAAAGAAAAGGGAAGAGGAGAGGGAGTTCGTGTGCGATTTTATTTATTCTGTTAAAATACCTGAGTTGATTCATTCAAAACAATAGTTTTAGTGCCTTTGTAGCGCAGGTGCTGCTCCGAGGACCAGGAGTGTGGCTGAGTGGGACAGGCCTCGTCCTCGTGGGTCTCGCCGTCTGCGGGGA